CGGTCCCCGGCCGTCCCGGGCCGGTCCGGGGCGGCCCGGCCGGGCCCGGGCAGACTCAGGCGGCCGCGGGCCGGCCCGGGCCGGCCCGGGCGGTCCCGGGCGGCGCCGGGTGCGCCTCCTTCGGGCGAGGCGGCGGGCGCGCCCTTTTCCGGCTCACTGGGCAGCCTTCCCGAAGAGGCCAGGCAAGCGGCTGCGCGAGGCGAGGAGGCGGCGCTGCTGGCGTGGCTCAACAGCGGAGGGCAGGTGAACGCGTTCGATAGTGCGGGTTTCACGTTGCTGCAAATCGCCGCTGGCAACGGCCACGAGCGGGTCGTTGACGTACTGATCCAGCGCGGCGCGGAGGTCGACCTGCAGAACAACGCCGGCCAGACCGCGCTGACGGCCGCCGCCGGCCTAGGCCAAGTGCGGGTGGTCGAGCTGCTACTGCAGCGCGGCGCGGAGATCAACAAGCAGAACAGCGACGGCGGCACCGCGCTGATGGTCGCCGCCTACTCCGACCAGCTCCTCGTCGTGCTCCAATTGCTGCGGGCGGGCGCGGATACGAAGTTGCGCACTACGGACGGCAAGTCCGCGCTGCAGATGGCCAGGGAGCAGGGCCACATCGCGTGCGTCGCCGCCTTCCGGCAGCACATCGCGGAGGTGACTGCGAGACAGCGCGAGGCGGCGGCGGGCGGCGCAGGCAGCGCTTCCTCGGGCGAAGCGGTCTCTTCCAGCTTTACAGAGGCGGAGCTGGGCAGCCTTACAGAGCTGGGCAGGGAGCTGGGCAGGGAGCTGGGCAGCGTTACAGCGGCGGTGGCCGCGGCCGGGCGAGGCGACGAGGCGGCGCTGCTGGCGTGGCTCGAAAGCGGCGGGCGGGTCAATGCTTCTTGCAAGCTAGGCGGTGAGACCCCGCTAGGTGCCGCCGCTGCCAGCGGCCACGAGCGGGTGGTCGAGCTGCTGCTTCAGCGCGGCGCGGCGATCGACCAGCAGAACAGCAACGGCTGGACCACGCTGGCGGCTGCCGCCCACCAAGGCCAAGTGCGGGTGGTCGAGCTGCTGCTGCGGCGAGGCGCGGAGGTCGACCTGCAGAACAGCGACGGCGGCACCGCGCTGATGGTCGCCGCTGTCAACGGCCAGGAGCGGGTGGTCGACTTGCTGATCCAGCGCGGCGCGGAGGCCCGCCCCAGCACTTCAGGCGGACCCGGCTCGCGGAAAGCCATTGCGACAAGTCGCGAACGCGGGGACAAGGGCAGGTTTGTGCCCAAGCAAACGGTGACGAGCGTTGCAGGTACTACGCTGCCTTCCCTGGAGAGAGAAAGTTGAGCGAGCGGGTGGGAGCGCAGGGCTTAGAGGAGTTATAGGTGGGTGTGTTGCAGCCCGGTCCTGCGCCCCTTTACCCCCCTCCCACTCGATTGCATCCACCGCCTGCGCCCCACTCGGATGACCTCCTCTCACTCTACCGAAGCGTCCATAGGCGTGACTACCGACGATGGCGCGACCATTGTCGCCGAGGCGACATGATGAGGAGGAGTCGATCATTGGCACCGCAGCGGCAGGTGCCGCCCCCGAGAAATGGGCAGCCTGAATGGGGAAAGGGGAAACTGGCCAGCCCATTCTGCTGCCCCACCCCCTGTTCATGCAGCACAACATACGGCCAGCAACCCTGCAAACCCGGAGAGAGAGGTCGCTGTGCTGAGTCGCGAAGCCCGAAACGGGTGGACTCTGTCTGTGCACCGCGCACCGGCGCACGCGCCACGCGCGGCACGGGCAGACCTCGCTCCTCGGCTCGAGCGCTCTCGGCACGGAGTCCCCGGCACGCAGACATGTGAGAGAGCAAGTAAGGGAATGTCAAACATGTGTGTGCTTGCCGTGTGGCTTTAAGCCCACGCGCCGGAGCTCCCGGGGAGATGTGCATGTGGCGGGGGGAGATGTTCATGTGTGTATAGAGACATGAATCATGATGTACGTAGCTCCACACGTTTGTGCGACCTGAGACGTAGAGTACCGCTACTGTACAGTACACATGTAGCAGGCAAGCAGTTTCATCCTGCGAGTGACGCGACACCCAAGCCGACCAGCCGCCCGAGCAGCTCATTCGGCCCCACTCGCGAAGCCTGCGCGCGCGTCGCCTGCGCCAGACACGAAGAACAGAAGAGTTTGTGACGGAGCAGGGTGTCTGCAGGAGCGCGGGTTAGTGCGAAGTGTGCGAGTCTCGACCAACTCACCCCGGCGAGGGGTGAGGAGGACCCTTTGGGAGGGTGTCGGGCGGGCGGGAGGGGAATAGACGCGCCTCCTGGGCGAGCGGGTGCGATGCGTCCGCCCCGTCTGGCACGACGGCGATGGCGCCCACGCGCAGCGGCGCGCCCTGCTCCAGGACGGCCCCCCCGCCCGCCTCGATGATGCGTCGTAGCTGCGCGGGCGGTGGCACGACCTCTGGATCGAGGGCGAAGGTCTGGCCGACGAAGACGCCGCCGCCGCGCTGCGGCCGCGCCAGCCGGTGCGCCCGCGGCGCGCCCAGCCAGAGCAGCCCCCTGCCGCACGGTGCAGTCGCCTACAAGGTTCCTAGAAGGCTCCTAGAAGGCTCCTAGAAGCAGCCCCGTACTGCCGCACGGCGCAGTCGCCTCCCCGGCGGAGAAGAGCTCGTGCGCCTCCTCGGGCAGCCACGCGCCTGCCGGAGGGGAAGGGGGGGGGGGCGGGGACAGAGGGATGCGTCCAGGGCGGGCCCATGCCGCAGCGTAGAGCCTGCCCCCTTCTCTCTC